GGAAGGTCAGGCCTCTGCTATATCATATTCTTTGGTGGGAGTGCCGATGAAGCAAACATATATTTGCTATTGCAATCAACTACGTTACTTATATTCGTGTGAGAGTAGGGTTTCGAGACTACCAGTAAATCAGTGCAATGAGATTGAAACAAGTCGTAAATTGGCTTTCCCGGAAGTCGACGTAGGATTGCTTTGAAGTTATGTCTGTAGATTTGTGCGAATAAATCCTGGACGAATAATCCATGCGGAACTTTTGCCAGTCTCGTGCTGTACGATGATTGACCTTTCAATCGAGTCCTCAAACGAACGGAAAAATACACCAAAGTTAATCTATTAAAAAAGGACTTTTCGAAACCTAGCATTTCTTCGTGCCCCGTGAGGCTTCCCTTTAGCCCACAAGCCAAGTTGCCTGCAGGGCCGCTTGCGCCTCAAAGGGGACCCCTCTACCAGAAGGGATGTAATAATTAGTTTTTCTGTACCACCGGCTGGGCCGGTCCCAGAGCGCCTGGCTGGAAAAGCAACGTGGGAAGCCCTGACACCTGGTGAGCCAGCATCTTCTCTTGATCCCACTTCTTCATGTCCCCTGGCCGGCCGGCTGGCTGGCTGGCTGACTCTTTGTAAGCCATCCTGTCCCAAAAGACAAGTGAAAGCATGCCGATTAGTTACGTTATTTGGACGTTCACCTTTGCAGTATCCTTCACTCATTCGCATTCCCTTTCAGCTAAAGACCCTCTCACCTGTCAACTCATTTGGTATTTTGTTGCCCTGAGCGCGCCGAACACCTTTTGTGTCAACCTGCCACTCCCGTTCCCAGTGTCGCCCCTTTCCACATTGGACCTCCAAGTCTACAGTCCTCCCTCCTTCCAGGCCTGAAGAAGAGTCAGTTCGAGTCGGCCCCCTGTCCCCTTCTCGGTAGACCCTGGCTTTTGTCACCCTCTCTTCAGGCCACCCTTGCACATACTCAAGAGCTCAGAGATGCGCACGTGAGTACCATCGTGCTCTCTCTCTCTCTCTCTCTTAGCACGAGTGTTGGCATGACCTGGGCAATCACCCAGAGCACGAGTGGCACGAGAGCAGAGTAGGAAGAGAGAAAGATACAGCGTTGGCGAATGAGGATGCTTAAGAGAAGGTTGCAGTTGGATGGCTCGTGTGGATAATTTCAAGCCCCCTGGAGGCCCGTGAGCATTGATGAAGAAGATACCTGCGCCTGAACCAGTGACAGGAGAGCGACCAAGACAAATACGGGTCAACTGTGGGTCCGCGTCTGAGAGACGGGGTAGGGAATATGATAAGAAAAAGTGGAACAGATAGTTTCTGTTCATTTGTGTACATGTGTGTATGTGTGTGTGTTTATGCTATTGTTTGTGCATCCGCGCTGGTATACAATTTTAGCCAAAAAAACACAAAGTT